CCATGGCTGCGGCGCAGCTTCCTGACCGACTTATTCCTCGGCACGAGTGAACAGCGGTGAGTCAGGAGCAGGAGCGGGCAGAGGACTGCTCCTCCGCACCAACAACCGCGTCGCTCGCTAAAAGAAATGCATGAGGCTCGCGCGGCGATTTTATAGACCACCTGCATCCGGGTTTCTCGAGCCCCGGAAGCGGAATCGTTCCGCGCCCTGAAAAGGAGACCGCGTGAGGCTGGGCTAGAGAACCCGTAGAGCTGGCGGGAAAAGTGCGCCTGCGGACGCCCCCTGCTGTCCAGGAGGAGCCAAAGCCCCTCGAGGTTGGGTCCGGGCTCACGTATCTACGCACGTCCTCTGGCCACCTGGCAGAAATGACGGGCGACCCTGAAACCTGAGAAACTACCTCTGGGGCGTTCTCCCTCGCCCTTGGGTAAAAGTGCAAACGAACCCTGCGGTTTCTGCAGTGCAAATTTTTGTTTCTGATACAAAGCCAACCAACTCACTGTTGTGTGAACTCGTAACTTTTCTGAGTTAGTAACTGACGCGGCGTGTAGAAAAATGAGCCTGACGAGTTAGATCTGTTACTTTGAGGCGGGGCGGGGTATGGGGAGGAAACCCAAGGGCTCTCTGCAACTTGGTTGTAGCCCCAACCCCCTTTTGAAGTTTGTATCTTGAGGCAGGGACCTCACTAAGTTTCCCAGGCTGGCCTTGAATTTGGGATCCTCCTGCCTCGACTCCCAAGTGGCCAGGGTTACAGACCTGAGACACCAAGCCCTGGCTGAGAGGGGCTGAGACACAGGACAGAAGGGAGAGGAGATAAACTCATATTGTGGGTAAATTACAACTGAAACTTTCATCAGATAATAGCGTTGACTTACCTGCTTGGTGGTAAAATGAACCTGAGTGATAACTCGGTTTTGTTTTGTTCAAAAAAAAAAAAAAATACACACACACACACACACACACACACACACACCCTTTAGGGTTAATGTTAAAATTTGCATACTTTCTAGTTCCAATATTTTTTAATGTGAACTATTAGCTGTAACTATTCTATTGGTAGAATGTGCCACACACACACACATACACAAAAATCTGAAAACCTTATTTTAGAAGCTGTCTCCAAATGAGACTTCACATCTTCAGGCTTTAACTTATTGATATGTTTATCTGCAACAAATAGACAAAAATGCAATTGCCTAGTCCCTGGGATATGAAAATCCACCCCTGTATTTATTACCAAAGTTGAATGCAGATCGTCAGAGAAGGTGTACAGTGACATTCATGTTTCATAAAAACGTGAGCTACTTATAGAAGGAAAAAGTAGAAATTAGCAGTAGCAAAAAATAAAAAGGTGCATAATTCCATCATTCTGAGATCACCACTGTTTACATCTGCAGATATGTATGTATCTTTTAAAAATGGGCCCCTGCCCTATGTACAGGTCAAGTCACATAATGTTTTATCAGAATAAATATACTTAGAGCAATATCTCTTTTCATGACAGTGTCATCATGAATTATATAAATGGTTCTTTCTTTTGTTGAACCAGTCTTCTATTTACAGACATTTTTACGTTTTTCTTTCTTATGAACAATACCATAAGGTACATGCTGGTAGATTAGGGTTTCTCAATCTCAACCCAATTGACATTCTGGGATGAATAGTTCCTTATTTGTGGGGGGCTGTCCTGTGTATTTAGATGTTTAGCAACATCTCTGGCTCCTACCCACTAGCTACCACTAGATAACCCTTCTTTCCAGTTGTGAGAATCAAACATGTCTCTAGACATTGTCAAATGTCTCCTGTAAGACACAACTACTCTGCCCCCCTTGATCTGCAGTGTTATAGATCAATCTTTTAGCTTATCCTTGGCATCACATAAATTATAGATATTCTTATACACTGGATGACTTAATCAAAGAATAAGTTTTAAATACTTAAGCTTAAATTAAGTAAGTTGCCCTCTGGGAAAATTGTACCCCCAAACATATTTCTCCCAGCAGTATAAAAATTCAATAAATTAATATATATATTTCATTTTAACTTTTAAAATATTCCTAGACCATTATGAAATATGTATTTTCAATCTCTCTCTCTCTCTCTGTAGCTCTTCTTTACTAATTTTGGAAGTTCTTTTAAAATCATCTTATAAAACCTGTATACTGCAGGGTGGGTCTGTAGATGGCCACCTACTGGTATTTTGCTGCAATGACAGTGTCATCCTACAATTTTTTTTTTTTAACAGCCATAAAAATGATTTCATTCATGGTTAGATTTATGAATGAATTAACAAAGGCAAGTTGTCACAAGAGTGTGGATTAGTCTGTTTAGACATTATATTATTTTGAATTTTGGATCTAAATATAATTTTTCAATGTTTGAACTTCTTCAGTCCGAAATTTAAGAATAAAAGTGGGTGCAAGTTTGAAACTTTCTCTCGTCATTGCCCATTTTGTATTGGTCAGGGAATGGACAACGGAGGTGATTTCTCATGGTTTCCTAGGATGAAACGTGAGGACTGAGAACACTACTCATCCTGTGATAGCCAGCACTGTCAGAAGTATTCTTCAGTCACTTGATCTTCACATAGACCCCTGGAGATAAGTAAGGTTATTTATACTCAATTCATGAAATGAAGCTAAATAATCTGTCCAAGGTCCCAGGAAAAGCCAGTGTTTGAATCCATGCTGTCTCTTTTTTTAGGCTCTGCAGTCAACCCATGTGCTGCACTCTCAGATATTTTAGGGCCCATCTTTATTAGTAGCGGCATTACATCTGAGACAAGTAAAATCCTATTATATTAACCAACATGTGCTAAAGGACTTTATGTATTTCACTATACAGTACTCCCCACTTACCTGGAGGGGATATGTTTCAAGACCCCCCAGTGGTTGCCTGAAACCTCAGATAGCATAGAAGCCTTTATATATTATGCCTTTTCCTATACATTCAGATATACCTATGAAGATGTTTAATCTATAAATTAGACACAGTAAGTGAATAACAGCATTGGCTAATAATAAAATATGATAATTATAACTAGAAGCTGCAATAAAAGTTTGTGAATGTGGTCCCTGCCCCAAATATCTTTACTGTACTGTTCTTGCCCTTCTTCTTGTGATGATGTAAGATGATATAATGCTGATGTGATGAGATGAAGTGAGGTGAATGAAGCAGGCATCGCATTAGGTCACTGATGCCCTTTGGGTGACACAATAGGAGGAGTGTTAGGTGATCCTGGCTAATTTCTCACTTAATATTTTTGGATTTTTTTTTTGTCAGTACTGACAATGGATAACTGAAAAGCAAAACTGCGGATAAAGAAACCACTATAGTTGAAATCAGAGATTACTGAATTATTAAGTGCCTCCATTATGAGGTAATTTGCCCATTTTTTAAACTCACTCATTCTTTTGTTTGAAGTTCCATAAATAACCAAGGCCAGTTAACTCTATTTGCTTCTAAAAATCATTTTACTAAAGTAAACAATGAAAAAAAGAATGAGGGACACAGCAAGATCTTTTTTAAAGCATGAATCATCTGGAACACGGGTTAGGTTGACAATTTTTAGTCATAATTGAGCTCACAGAATTCTCTGGGGGTGGGAGTTGAATGTCTTCTCTAGGCACCCTAGTTCCTCTTCTTCCCTCTCTTGTTCTTCTTCTCTGGCCTGCATACATCTGAAAGTCACCCGTCTACCTCTATTACACAGTGCGGGATCCTAGCTCTAAGATGACTTTCAGAAGATTTCTCCTGCCACGCTTTTGTGATCCTGATCTCAGGCAGAGGAGCTAGAGCTATTCATATCTATTAGTCACTCTAACTAGGCTTGTGGTTTTCATGTTGTATAGAATGAATACCACATTTTAGAAATCATTTCCACCACTTGCTTTTCTTTATGAGAAGATTGAATCTGTGGCCTCCTCATACACTGATTCTGCCACTTGCTTTTGTGTGGTAGATAGGTTCAAGCATGGCCACAATGTTCCCACCTCCTGTTATTTCAGGCCTTGTGTAATTCTCTCTATATGGGAGCTTGTGACTTGCTTTCAAATACTAGAATTTGGCAATTCTAGTGCTGGAATGTCACTTCCA